AAAAAAAAAAAAAAAAAAAAAGATTAATTCCTAAGTATTTTATTCTTTTTGATGCTATTGTAAATTGAATTCTTTTCTTAATTTCATTTTCGAATTGTTCATTGTTAAAGTATAAAAATGCAACTGATTTGCACGTTGAATTTGTGTTCTGCTACTTTGCTGAATTCACTTATCCGTTCTAACAACAGTTTCTTTTTTTTTCTTTTCTGTGAAACCCTTAAGGTTTTCTACATATAAGATCATGTCATCTGTGAACAAAAATAATTTTACTTCTTCCTTTCCAATTAGGATGTCTTTTCTTTGTTTTCTTTCCTACTTGCTCTGGCTAGGACTTCCAATACTGTGTTAAATAGAAGTTGTGAAAGTGGGCATCCTTGCCTTGTTCTTGATCTTAGAGGAAAACTTTCTTTTTTTTTTGTGAGGAGGACTAGCCCTGAGCTAACATCCAATGCCAATCCTCTCCTTTTTTCTTGAGGAAGAGTGGCTCTGAACTAACTTCTGTGCCCATCTTCCTCTACTCTACATGGGACGCCACCACAGCATGGCTTAACAAGCAGTGAGTCAGTACGTGCCCGGGATCCAAACCTGCGAACCCCAGGCCTTCGAAGTGGAGCATGTGCACTTAACCGCTTGCGCCACCGGGCCTCCCCTAGCGGAAAACTCAGTCTTCCTCCACTGATCATAATGTTAGCTGTGGGTTTTTCATACATAGCTTTTATTATGTGGAGGTTGTTTTCTTTTATTCCTAGTTTGTTGAGTGTTTTTATCATAAAAGGGTGTTGACATGATTTTATGTTGACACAAAATGTCAAGTGTGTTTTCTGTATCAATGGATGATCCTGTGTTTTTTTCCTTCATTCTGTTAATGTAGTGTATTACATTGATCGATTTTCATATGTTAAACCATACTTGTATTCCAGGAATAAATTCCATCGTGGTATGTAATCCTTTTAATACGCTGCTGCATTTGGTTTGCTAGTATTTTGTTGAGGACATTTGCATCAGTGTTCATAAGCGATACTGATCTGTAGTAGTTTTCTTGTAGTATCTTTGTCTGACTTTGGTTTCAGGTCAGTGCCAGCCTCATAGAATGAGTTAGGAAGTGTTGCCTCCTCAATTTTTGGAAAAGTTTGAGAGTGATTGGTATTAGTCCTTGCAAAGGATTCTTGGACCCTGTTCCAATGTCTGTGTGTATGGAGGCTTCCCCACACCAACAGGCAGTTCTCGGATGCCAGCAGGGTGTCTGGAAATTCAACTCAATTCTGACACTATCTACCCAGAGATAGAATCAGATTCCACCAGTAAGCAGCTCAGTCCCATAAGACCACTGTCGGCTTCAGATGCCAGTCGCAAGCCCAGGTTGTTACCGGTGCTTCTGACCAACTGGCTACAAACTGGAGGTTCCAATGACCGCCTCCAACTCAGGATGTCAATCACAAGTTCAGGTTGTTATCTGTACTTCTGACCAACTGGCTGTAAATCAGAGGTTCCCATTACCCCCTCCATGAGTTTTAATTAATTTGCTAGAATGGCTCACAGAACTCAAGAAAACCTGTTTACTCAACTAGATTACCGATTTATTACAAAGGATATGAATCAACAGTCAGATGAAGAGATTCATAGGGGAAGGTCCTTAATAAGCTCCTGTCCTCGAGGTGCTTGGAGCCTAGTGAGGTGGCACATGGAAGCATTCTGGTTCCCCAGCAAGGAAGCTCTCTGAAAGGAAAGGGAGGGCTGAGGAGCTGTCCTTTGGAGTTTTTATGGAGGCTACCTCGTGTAGTCATGATTGATTAAGTCATTGGCCATTGGCAATTGATTTGACCTCAAGCCTTTCACCCCTCCCTGGAGGCTGAGGGAGTGGGACTAAAAGTTCCAACCCTCTAATCACGTGGTTTGCTCCATTGGCAGTCGGCCCCATCCTTAGGTGCTTTCCAAAAGTCACCTCACTAACATAACAAAAGACGCATTTATCACTCTCAACACTGAGGAAATTCCAAGGGTCTTGGGACCTGTGAGCTACAGACTGTGGACAAAGACCAAATATATATTACAAATATATTTTGGTAATCTGAATGACCAAATATATATTTCCCATAAATCACAGTGTCACAGTCGTTCTTTAAATGTTAGGTTGAATTCACCAGTGAAGCCATCAGGTCCAGGGTTTTTCTTTGTCAGGACATTTTTGATTACTGATTTGATGGGGTTCAGGGCAGGCTGGCCCAAGATGTGCCACTCTGGTATGTGGATTATTTTGAGCTGAAGATAATAAAGGCTCAGAAGACTCAGAAAGAAGCTTTGACCTCCCCTCCCCCGCCCCCAATAACTGCCTAAAAGAATTTAAGATAGAATACCTGTCCCCAGGACAGGCCGTCACCATAGATAACTCTGGGTATGGATAGACTGAAAGGGTCCTTGCTAAGCCCATTCTTATCAAAGCTCTGAAAACCAAGTAAAAGTAGAAGTTATCTTTTTGTAAGAGAATTAGATTTATAAGGGAAATCTCCATTTGTAAAGGTATCTCCTTTTCTGTACCAGGAAGAAGGTGGGGTGACTTTATCTCTAGAAACTCTTTTCAGTGCAGAAGGCAAGGACTTAAATCTGCATATTAACCTTACTCTTGTTTACTGTGCTTTTCCGGTAATCTCCCATAACTGACTCCTCCCACCCCCAACATCCTCCTTTGTCTTTAGCTGAAGATAGTATTTAAGATGAGAACCTCTGCCATTTTGTTGAGTTACCCAGCTTTTCCTGGGTCTCTCCCGTGTATGCATGTTCTAAAGCTTTGTTTGATTTTCTCCTGCTGTTCCATCTTATATTAATTTCATTTGTAGCTCAGCCAGAAAGGACCCAGAGTGGGTAGAGGATAGTCTTCCTCCCCTACAGATTCAATCTCCTTAATAGTTTCAGCCTTGACCTAATGCAGAACTTCTTTTCAACTCTGGGCCACACTGAAAGCTCACCTTCCATGGCACTTGATATATGGGTCAGAGCAGTATTCCAAAGTATGGAATATGTTGTCTCTAGAACCTGAAGAGTCCTGTCGACACAAGATAACCAATAACCATTCCATAGATAAGAGAAATAAAATGAGTTTTACTTGAGCCAGAATGAGGATTATAAACTAGGAAGGCCTTAGAAAGCGTTTGTTCCAGAGAAGCATGGTTTTCAGTATGGTCTTATATGTTTTTAGAACAAAGAGCATTAAACACACCCAGGATACATTTTCATAAAAGTTTCAAAGAGGTATTTAGTTGCAAATTAGTAGGTCAACGTGACCCTCATGTTGGGAAAGGGACTAATCTGGGGGTTACCAATAGAGTGTTACCAATAGGGCATGGGAAAGGAAGTATGCATTCTTATCTTAAGTGAGTGCAATTTTCTTTTTTAATTTTTTTCTGAGGAAGATTCACTCTGAGCTAACATCTTGTTGCCAATCTTCCTGGGTTTTTTTGGCTTGAGGAAGTTAGCCCTGAGTTCATGTCTCTGCCAGTCTTCCTCCACTTTACGTTGGTTGCCATCACAGCATGGATTGATGAGTGGCATAGGTCTGTGCCCAGGGTCTGAACCCGTGAACCCAGGCCACTGAGGCAGAGGGCGCAGAACTTAAACCACTCAGCCATGGGGCTGGCCCCAAGAGAGTGCATTCTTTAATAGTTAAGCAGATGTACAATGTATGTTTGATAGGCCATAAGTCAGGCTTTTGAGTGCAAGCGGAATCAGTTTTCAACCCAAATAGTTACCCCATATACCTCAATATGTTAAAATCTCTTGTCAGTCCTTCCTGGCATTATGCTTCCTTCTTGGTGATGATAGGTGTGAGATGCAATAATTTGTCCTTTACTTTGAAAGAAATGTCCTGGCATGCCTAGATCGGACCCCTAAAGCTTCACTGAGTGCTCTCAACCCTCTGGAACACATGTATCTTACCAAGGGTTCTAATGCACTTGCCATTTCTTGTCTATCTAATCTGATTTAATATGATATCATCAATAGTGAACTAATGTGATCTGTGGAATGGCCAGATCCAGGTCCCTTTGGACTGATTTGATAAAGAGCAGAACATGGTTCTAAGGAAAGACTATAAAAGTATACTGTTATTCACGCCACATGAATGAAAACTGCTTCTGATCCTGTTAGGAATGGAAAGGAATACATTTGCTTAATCAATATCCACATACCTTCTACCTAAGACCAAGTTAATCTGCTCTAGCAAAAATAGATCTGGCACAGTGACTGAAATTGGGACCTACTGGGGACTCACTGTTATCTTTCTGGTTTTACATAGATCATACTTGTGAATTAAATGGAGATTTGATGGAGACATCCACCCGTACATCCTTTAGATCTTTTTTTATCATCTTGGCTAGGATGAGGAGCAGTTTCAGAGGGTTCCACTTGCCTTAACCCAGAAGCCAAGAAGCCAGTTGGTGGTTTTGCCAACTACCAAATATGTCCACTCCAATTATACATTTGGAGATGGAGGAAATGACCATTGATTGGGTCTTGATCCAGTGGACCCACTGTGAGCTGGACCTGGACCAAAATTCCCTTTATTACATGGTTCCCATGTGCCCCAGTACTATGATAAAGCTTCAGGTCACCAGAGATCACTGTCAACTCAGACCCTGTATCCAGCAATCCTTTTCCTCAGTGTACAATTACTTGAATAAATAGCCATAGGCCCTTTGGAGAAGGACTGGGGGAGTCATTACTGTGTACATTTGTTGTGGCGTCACTAGGTCTTATCTCCTGGGAGACCTAGCTTCTCCTTCAGGTAGTAGTCTCTGGGTTTTAAAACTGGCAGAGGTGTGGAAAATGCGCCAGAGATTGTGATTTTGTATAGGGCACAGCCCTCAGCCTTTCTCCATCTTTGATTTATTTTGTTTAAGCTATACTGCCTTGACCACCTCTCTGTCTTACTCCTAAGAGCACTATGCTCTATCAACCATCTCCATATGACGGGCTCTGAAATCTCATTTTAGAGTTTGCTTTCTTGGTCCATTTCTGATATCAACTGTCTTAGATTGGGTTCCCTGGAAAACAGACTGCAATGGAGACTTGTTTGCAGGACGTTTTTGGGGAGTGCTCTGAGGAATAACCATTACCTGTGAGGGAATAAGGAAAGTCTGATTGGGCAAAACTTGAACTTCACTTCATTTAGAACAGGCCTCAGTCAATGCCACATGGTGCCTTGAAGCTGGGATGGCCCTTCAGAAAGATCCTGAATTGACACAAGGAGATTGGGATTTGTACCCCCTCATTCACAGGCGCTGGGTACAGGCTGTCACTTGGGCACGCAGGTGGGTGAGGCAGTTCACCTTGACTGAGGGCAATTCTGGAGAGAGATTCAGCTGTGAGCCATTAGCCTGCAACATTGCTGGCAGTTGGGGGAATGAACCCATCGGTCCTGAAGAGGAGAATCTGAGCAGTGTACCCTAGTACCCACCTATAGTTCTTTTCTAGAACCAAAGAAGAAATTGTTTGCTGGCCCCTTCTCTCTGAATTCCTGATGTAAATACCTGATGTTTTAAAAATTAGAGCTAAGGTCTAGTTATTCAATTTTAATTTGAGGTTACCATTGTTTTAAAAATAACTAAGTCACAAGAGAGATGCTTTAAACAGAAAAATTTGCTTATCTGGACACAATGTGTGCTTACTCTCTACGAGAATTGCAGGGAGCTAGAAGACAAGAAGAAGATTCAGAATCTCTTGGCTCTTGTGGGAACAGACACTGGAGAAGTGACCTATTTCTATAAGGAGCCTCCCAACAAAGTAAGTAATCTTTGGTATAGTGTGGTAAGCATGGCTTTTACAAAATACAGGCTAGGGTCCATAGAGCAATTTTGGTACTTGCTGAAGAAGATAGAAGGAGAATTAGCTATCATAGTCCCATGTTTACCTAAGTTTTCAAAGCATTTTCTAGAATTACAAGGAGCTTTCTGGTTTTATTCTTTTTCTTCACAAACTTTGGGAAGTGGCATTGTTTACCTCATTTCACCATTTGGAAACCTAAAGCACAGAGGACTAGATGTTTTCGATGAGATTAGAGAGGAAAGCAGGAGGAGACTTGTGTGGGAGCAAGTTTCAATACTCAAGTCTCTTTTTTAATCTTTGTTTATACTGATTACAAAAGTAATGTGTGGTCTTCTTAACAAACAAGAAAAATCCCAAATAAGCAACCTTAAACTATGCCTAATAGAACTAGAAAAAGAAGAGCAAACAAAGCCCAAAGTCAGCAGAAGGAGAGAAATGATAAAAATTAGAGCAGAAATAAATGAAATTGAAACAAACAAAAAAAAATAGCAGAAAGGATCAATGAAACAAAGAGTTGGTTCTTTGGGAAGATAAACAAAATTGACAAACCTTAGCCAGGGTTCTCACTAAGAAAAAAGAGAGAAGGCTCAAATAAATAAAATTAGAAATGAAAGGGAGAAGTTACAATGGATACCAGAGAAATGCAAAGGATTATAAGAGAATACTACGGAAAACTATATGCCAACAAGTTGGACAATCTAGAAGAAATGGATAAATTCTTAGACTCATACAAGCTCCCAAAGAGCTTGTATGAAGAAGAAATAGAAGAAGAAACCAAGAAGAAATAGAGAATCTGAATAGACCAATCAAATAAAGAGATTGAAACAGTAATTAAAAACCTCCTGGGGCCAGCCCCATGGCGTAGCGGTTAAGTGCGCGTGCTCCGCTGCTGGCGGCCCAGGTTCAGATCCCAGGCACACACCAATGCACCGCTTGTCAGGCCGTGCTGTGGTGGCATCCCATATAAAGTAGAGGAAGATGGGCATGGATGTTAGCCCAGGGTCAGTCTTCCTCAGCAAAAAGAGGAAGATTGGCATGAATATTAGCTCAGAGCTGATCTCCTCACAAAAAAAAAAAAAAAACCTCCCCAAAAATAAAAGTCCAGAACCAGATGGCTTCTCCGGAGAATTTTACCAAACATTCGAAGAAGATTTAATACCTATCCTTCTCAAACTATTCCGAAAAATAGAGGAAGATGGAACACTTCCTAACACATTCTGTGAGGCCAACATCACCCGGGTACCAAAGCCAGAAAAGGACAATACAAAGAAGGAAGACTACAGACCAACATCGCTGTTCAACATAGATGCAAAAATCGTCAACAAAATATTGGCAAACAGAATACAACAATATGTTACAAACATACACCATGACCAAGTGGGATTTATACCAGGGACACAGGGATGGTTCAACATCCGCAAATTGATCAACGTGATACACCACATCAACAAAACAAGGAATAAAAACCACATGATCATCTCAATAGATGCAGAGAAGGCATTTGACAAGATCCAACATCCATTTATGATAAAAACTCTCAATAAAATGGGTATAGAAGGAAAGTACCTCGACATAATAAAGGCCATATATGAGAAACCCACAGCCAACATCATACTCAACAGGGAAAGTCTGAAAGCCATTCCTCTGAGAACGAGAACAAGACAAGGGTGGCCACTCTCACCACTCTTATTTAACATAGTACTGGAGGTTTTCACCAGAGCAATTAGGCAAGAAAAAGGAATCCAAATAGGCAACGAAGAAGTGAAACTTGCACAATTTGCAGATGACATGATTTTTATATACAAAACCGTAAAAAATCCATTGGAAAACTATTAGAAATAATCAACAACTACAGCAAAGTTGCAGGGTACAAAATCAACTTACAAAATCAGTTGCATTTCTGTATGCTAATAACAAACTAACAGAAAGAGAACTCAAAAAGGTAATTCCATGTAGGGGCCGGCCCCATGGCATAGCAGTTAAATGTGCATGCTCCACTGGTGGCGGCCCAGGTTCAGATCCCGGGCACGCACCGAAGCACTGCTTCTCAGGCCATGCTGTGGCGGCGTCCCACATAAAGTGAAGGAAGATCGGCACGGATGTTAGTTCAGGGCCAGTCTTCCTCAGCAAAAAGAGGAGGATTGGCATGGATGTTAGCTCAGGGCTCATCTTCCTCACCAAGAAAAAGAAAAAAAGATAATTCCATGTATAATGGCAACAAAAAGAATAAAATATCTAGGAATAAATCCAACCAAGGAAGTGAAAGACCTATACAATGAAAACTATAAGACATTATTGAAAGAAATTGATGATGACGCAAAGAAATGGAAAGATATCCCATGCACATGGATTGGAAGAATAGACATAGTTAAAATGTCTGTATTACCTAAAGCAATCTACAGATTTAATGCAAACCCAATCAGAATCCCAATGACATTCTTCACAGAAATAGAACAAAGAATACTAAAATTCATATGAGGCAACAAAAGACCCTGAATAGCTAAAGCAATCCTGAAAAAAAAGAACAAAGCTGGAGGCATCATAATCCCTGACTTCAAAACGTACTACAAAGCAATAGTAATCAAAACAGCATAGTACTGGTACAAAAACAGATACACAGATCAATGGAACAGAACTGAAAGCCCAGAAATAAAATCACACATATCCGGACTGCTAATCTTCGGCAAAGGAGCTAAGAACATAGAAAGGAGAAAGGAAAGTCTCTGCTATAAATGGTGCTGGGAAAACTGGACAGTCACATGCAAAAGAATGAAAGTAGACCATCTGCTTTCACCGTTCCCAAAAATTAACTCAAAACGGATCAAAGACCAGAAGGTGAGACCTGAAACTATAAAGCTCCTAGAAGAAAATATAGGCAATACACTATTTGACATTGGTCATAAAGGAATCTTTTTGGATACCATGTCTACTTGGACAAGGGAAACTAAAGAAAAAATAAACAAGTGAGACTTCATCAGATTAAAGAGCTTCTACAAGGCAAATGAAACCAGGATCAAAATGAATAGAGAACCCACCAGCTGGGAGAAAATATTTGCAAATCATATATCTGACAAGGGGTTAATCTCCATAATATATAAAGTACTCACACAACTGAACAACAAAAAAACAAACAAC